ACCCCTTCACCGCTTCAACCCCTTCACCGCTTCAACCTCTTCACCGCTTCCACCCCTTCACCGCTTCCACCCCTTCACCGCGTTGCTGCAGACGTATGAAGAAATAATTTTTCGGAACCCCACGGTCAACCTGTACAACAAAATAATCCAAAGCAACAACAGCAAGACGGCCCCTCACAAGTTTCACGAGCACTGTACGTGTGCATGCGCGCGTGTGTATATATACCGTGCAAGTATATGCGAGCCACGCCCGCTGAGCAGTTACACACACCGCTAAGCAGTCACACGCCAACCTCATTTGTGAACGGCTGTTTCTTCCCCCACCCACCCACAGTCCTCAAGTATGACTTCCAGGAGGAAACCTACACGAGGAAGTACCTCGAATTCCAGTCCAAGGTGCAGGAGGAGATATGTGACCTGATGAACGAAGCGACGGAGCTATCCAAGGACGTAATGCAAAAGGGACGCGGCGCAGCAAGCGTGATGGAGAAGCACTCACTCTCTCTCTCTCTGTCCCCCCGCCTCCTGCGCACCTGCACACGTGCATGCGACGACACACGTGTGTTTCCCCCCTTTTCCCCCCTATTCACAGATAAACGAAGCACAGCAAAAATACTTCGCACGTAAGAAGCGTATTAGCCTCCCCCAAACCGCACGATCATTTTATTGCATGAGCAAAGTCGATCCACATGTCCAATCATTTTTACTTTCAAACAAACTTGCTCCCCCTTCTTCTTCATTTTCCCCCCCGTCTTGCAGTGAAAGCCGAAATGGGTGTTAGTAGCGACGACAACTAGGCCAACAGGGATGGAGTTAAAAATTATTTCTTCCATGAGATCCCATCCCAAATGCAATTTTTAAAAATACTTCTGTCTCATCCTTACACATAGACCATGTCGATGTGATGTCAATTTTGGCGACGCTCTTCTGATGAGTGGCTTTATGTTCATGCGGGCAGAGGGGAGAAACACAACAGCATTTTTGGAGTGTCCTCCCTATATACCATACTTGAATTTTTTTTTTTTTTTTTTTTTTTTTTTTTGTAAGCGGTATTGTTGTTTTATCCGTGCCGTGGTCCACCATGGAGCTGCACATGACTCTGCAGGAAAAGCCCTTTTAACAAATGGGCGTCCTGTTTCCTATTGGGTAAATTTAGAAATACCTGCGGGGCCACGAGGTTGTTCACCTTCTGAACGATCTCCCGCTGGTCATTCATGCAAACGACTTCACTACACTGTTGTGAAAAGGTAATGATTTTTTTCTTCTCATGCAAGTTTGCCTTTATCTGGTTGAGAGCGTGTTCTAGGGACAGGGAGCTCGGCTGCAGCTCCTCTTCTGCTCTCTGTGGTAAAATCTCGTGATCAACATTGTCCTGGATCTGGTCCGTATGGGTACTCTCCATATCTACCAGCTCTGTGTGATCACTCTGCGTGTGGACAGGGTTGACACTGTCCGATGTGTCACTCGCACGATGCCCCTTTCGGATCCCCAACAGGAACGGGTAAAAAATGGCCTTTTGAAAAATAGTTACTTTTTTACCTTGCCTGTTCAGGTAAAAATGTTCATCACTTTGGTATCCTTTAAAATTTTTTTTTTTTTTTTTTCTGTGTTTTGGATGTTGTTACTTATCATGAGGCACGTGTCCGACACGTAGTTCAGATTGACTTGGTTGGGATGAAATACGTTGCAACATTTGTCACACCTGCTTTTCCATTTCCCCTCCTTTTGTGTGATTCCTCCTCCTGTGTGAATCAGCAGTGGAGTTAGGGACTCCCTGAGGGGATATTGATAATGCTTAAAAAGGAAGAGGAAGAAATAAAAAACTTTCAGCACTAGGTAGCTATCTGAGTTGCAAAAAAATAAAAAGCAGTAGTTGGATCGTCTCCCCGTCTCCTCTTCACGCAGTGCCATCGAGCGAAAGGAAACAAATCGCATCCGTATTCTTCTCTTGAAAAGGAAGAAAATAATAAGGTTGGAATTATGCTGCACGATGCTCATCGATTTAAACAAATTTATATTATCGTTTGGGATGCAGAATTGGCAACAGACTTGGTTTTTCACAATTTTGAATTTTGTGACAAAATTTTTCATGCGCACTTTGAGGTGGACGCGGTGTACTGGGTCATCCGATTGGCTACTCACGTGGCTGCCCCTCTCCCCCGCGATGTGTATGCCTTCCGCGCAAAACCCCTTGATGTTCAGGGCAAGGGCCTTCCTCCTCGGGGTGCTCGTTAAGCGACACGGTTGAAGGGGCACGTTCTGCTCAACTACATGGACTCCTAACTGCGCTTCTGCGCAACTGGCGGAGCGCTCACCCTGGGTGACTCCTTCCCAGGTGTCCTCCAGGGCGTCCTCCACGGTGTCCTCTCCCCGGCTATCCTGCGGGGTGTCCTCCGGGGTGTCCTGCTCCAGGGTAGCGTTTTCCCTGATGTCTTCTCCCCCCTCTTCTCTCGTACCGCGTAAATCGTAACAACTGCGCCAAGCGGCGCCGTGCTGGGATGACCCCTCCACGGCCTGATTAGTCTCATTCACGAACTGATTAGTGTCACCCGCGAACTGATTAGTCTCATGCGCGAACTGCCTCTCCCTGCGCACGTAGCAGAAGTCGTGCACGGGGAGCCGCAGCTGGTACTTGAAGAAGTGCAGGTAGGCGTAGTCAGAGTAATTACACAGGCTTATGCACAGCCCCCTATTCCCATAGCGCCCACACCTTCCAGACCTATGAATGTAAGTCTCCTTATTCTGAGGAATGTCAAAGTTAATGACTAAATCACACACAATATTATCAACACCTCTACTCATGACATCGCTACACACTACGACTTTCATTTCATTCCTTTTGAGTTTATTAAAAACTTTCATCCTTTCGTGATGATCAAGTTTGGAACTGGTGTAGTAGCAGGACACGTCGTGTTTGTTTAACATCTTGCTCACCTGCACCCCCTCATATGTGTTATTAATAAAAAGGAAGCAGTGGTGAAAATTTATTTCCTTTATTACCTTCAGAATGATCTTCATTTTGTACTTGAGCTCCTCATGTTTGTTCATACTTTCATTGTCCACGGTAATGAAGCAGTGCCTAACGTTTCGCAGGATGGGTGAGCCCAGGACATCAGCGGAGCCGTTCTCCTCATCACTTCCTTTGGTGCCATTAAAAGGAATACCTGCTACATCCCCTTCCTCACAAGCAAACTGCTTTACAACGTGATGTGACGACTTGTCCCTACCTGTTGCCCCTTCCTCATGAATGATGACCGAGGTGCACGTCTGCACAAACTCAAACTCCCTCTTCCGCCTGGCACACATGCCAATGTTTCGCTTTTCCTTTATAATTTTTTGTAACATATATCGCATGGACATTTCATCTTGGAAGACGTTCTGTGATTGTACCATTTCTTCAATAGAGTTCATTCCCTTGGATTTGTTTCTCCTCATATTTTTTTTTTTTTTTTTTTTTTTTTTTTTTTCACTTTTGTGTGTGCACGGTTGTTTTGGGACATATGAAGTGGAGAGTTCACTTCATCCTTGTTGTGACATTCATCAAGTGGAGCGTCTTCTTCCGCCACTTCATTCTCATCCGATTCGTTACTCTGGTGGGTGGTCACTACGTCGTTTTGCAGTGATGTGTCCTGACCCACGGTATGCCTTACGTTCATTTCTGGTTGCGCCTCACAAACGGGCATAATACTATTATCCCCCACACACGATTCATGCAAACCGCCTGAACGAAAATTTGGACCCCGGTCGCCACTCACCATCTGATCAATCCTTTTCACACAAAAACCTTTCCACCTGGACACATATCCCAGGTCATGTAGATTCACCATTTTTAAAAAATTGGAAATTGCTGATTCAAGAAATGTGGAGCTATAACAGAGCACTTGTACTTTGGGTCTTATCACCTGACTCAGGATACACTTTATTTGTTCCTCAAATTGTTCCTCGAGGAGAGCATCAACTTCGTCTAATATGAATTGTTTAATCAGGACGTTTGTTATTTTAATGAGTGGCACTTGGATAGGGTATTCCGCCCTTTCTGTTTGTCCCACCTGCACATGCAGGCGCTTCAAAATACTCAACACGTGCTTCAGCCTTCCGGGGGTCGATATGATCACGTGCGGAAGATAAGAAAATATCATTCGCAAATTTTCTTTTACGTCTGTCCCTCCGTAGAGTACCATGGGTTTCACTTCGAAGGGGATTGGGCGTATCCCAATTTGTTTGTTACCGCCTTCCCCTTCAAGATGATCACTTAATGTGGAGTCTGGGGGGGAGGAACTGCAAACAGGATCGCATGATGGTGGAAGGTCTTCATGTTCTCCTTTAATAAATATACCCTGGTTCGAAATTTCCTTTATGTTATCACAGAGCTGCACGCAGAGCTCTCGAGTCGGCACGAGGATTATGGAGTGCAGGAAGAGGGACACTGGTGGGTCTGCCCCATTTCGCTTGGTTTCCAACTGGCCCCTTTTTTCTCCCTCCTGTGCGTCCTTGCCATCTGCCTGATGCAGCTGCCGCCGCTTCACCCTTTGCACCAACCTACTTGCCACAATTATACATATGGACAAGCTTTTGCCCGTTCCGTTTTTTGCCTGTACAATTAGGTTCCTCTTTTGTAGGGCCTTCTTCATAGACAGACGCTGGATCGTCGAGGGGTGGCAAATTTTCATCTGCCTCAAACATACAATTACCTCCTGAGGTATATTCAACTCTTCAAGTGTACTCTTTTCATTTTTCTCCTCCTTTGGGGCTTCCGCCAACAGGTCGTTCAGGTGACCAATTCGTACCGTCCAGGGGTCCATTCTTTCGGCGAGCAGCAGTTCACAACAAAGGGGGGGGACGTTCACACCGTTGCTCTGTCGTTGTGCATCCTCTACTGGGTGTAAACGCCTCCGTCACTCTCTTGTACTGTGTTTCGCTATCCTCTTTTTGTGCCCCCTTGAGAGGTGCCGGGGGAAGAAGGACAGAGCGGCCCCGCCGGTTCGATGTTCACCGCGGAAAAGTGGAAACGGGAAAAAAAAAAAAAAAAAAAAAAAAAAAATGCGAAAAAACGTATGACCATTTTTATTAAAAAAAAAAAAAAAAAAAAAAAAAAAAAAAAAAAAAAAATGCCCTCAATGAGTACTTAAAACCATATCACCCAATCGTGCAAAATTGGTCAAAGCGACTGACCAACCGCGGGTGAATACTTCTAGGTAGAGGATCACCTCTCTTCGCGGAGGCGCCCTCACCGCACATTAGCAGGGGAAAAGGCCGATGGTGCATACGGGGCGCGCCTCCAGCAGTCGTCCCATAGAAGCATGACCCTTCCTCACAAAACAGAGCAGCTTCGAGAGATCATCCTGCACCATGATCACACTGCAATACCGCCTCGCAGGCGCTACAAACGAGTCACCACAAAGGAGCCATCACAAACGAGTTTTTTTTTTTTTTTTTCTCACTTGAGCACCAGTCGACGTGTGGCTTATGTCTACCATTTCTTTTTATTTTCTCTCTCTTGTGTTGAGAGGACCCCGAAAAAAAAATTAAAAAGCCGGACCGTCTGCACAAGCGGTGAACACAGCACCGGAGAGAGACAGCCTTGACGCATGCACTCTTGCCAATCACTCACCGGATAAATCCTACCCCATTTTTTTTTTTTTTTTTTTCTTTTTTTTTTTTACCTGGACCCACCGGAAAATGGCGAACACGCACACACCACTGCATCACCTGTGTTCCTAACCGTTCAGTCAAATGAGGGAACAACTAGCCCTACTTTACACGTCACCGCGCAGGGTACACGCCACATGGTGTCACACCCTCCCACCAAGGGAACCTCTGAGGAAGGGTGTACTTTTTCTTCGCGTTCCGTTTTGCATGTACCTGCCGACTGTATGCTTTCTTCCCCCGTTGACACACCTCAAGGTTGACGCGTAACAAAGCAGTCCAGTGGTAGTGCCCGGAGTAGCATAAGCATAAGCAGTAGCGTTAGTAGTAGCGTTAACAGTTGCGTTAGCAGTTGCGTTAGCAGTACGGTGGAAGCAAGCCCTCCTGCTCTCCTTCGAGAGTCAGCCTGGAAAGTGAATTAACAAGCTCATCAAGCGCACGCCGAACGCAATCCCACCCCCCACGCACAAAAAAGATACAGGAGCAAAGGAGGGGGAAAGCTTCGAACGCATCGCTCAGTTACACCCACGCGTACCGCAGGTACTTCTCCTCAGCCACCACCACCCCCCCCCCCCCCCGCACACACATACACAACAATGAGCCTGACACACCATGAGAGCAACCTATACGAGCAGTCACTAAAAATCACGAAGAAGATAAAGGAGAAAATTACAAACCGGAAGGGATTCAAGGAGGACTTCAAACAGGTCAAGGTGAAATCTGTGCCGTACAAATACCTGCAGCGTAATTACAAAACGATATGTATGTCTGTGGGGTGTTGCATCAACACGTTCCTCTACTTTAGCTTTTGCTTCATCCTCAACAGGATAATTGAGCGTGTCCTGTTTGCTGCTCTGTCCAGGGTGTCTGAGTATGATTATACCAAGGGATTGGTGGGGGGGTCCGTCAAGGCCACGGTTATCCTGTTCCTGTGGTTCCGGCACTGCTCGGGTGGCTACGACGGCGACCCCTTTTTTCACTTTTTCAAGAGCAGGCTTAATCTGATTGGAAGGGGTAAGTGCTTGGGCTTGCGTGGTGCCTCCGTAGCGGTGTCATTGTAGCGGCACCACCGCCCCTCGTTAACACTGCCCCGATTAATACTCCCCTCCCCCCCCTCAGGCGAAGCGAAGGTCATATTCGTGTCTAACCTGGTCGGGACGCTGCTCTACCTCGGAGTGATGAAATTGCTTGTAGGGCAAGGCCCGCCGTCGTCCATCAGCGCTACCATACTAGAGAGGATACAAAATGGGCAGGTCACAAACAGCAGATCGCTCCTCACCTCTTTTTTGTTCCCCCAACTACCAGCTGTAGTGAAGAATGCCCTTGTGCAGCTGATCATACTAACATGTCCTCACGTGAGCAGCGGCAGCAAGTATTCGAATAAAACCTTTTTCAACAACATGGACCTATACTCTTCCATTGTGATGGACACATATTTGAATGAAATGATTTGCTCCTTTTTGAATTACGTCTTACTGTATATTTATTTGTTCACGAAGGATAATTTACCTTACCAGTTAGAAATTAACCTCCTCTTAACTCAAATCGTTTTACTCTTTTCTGCTAGATGCTACAACATTGTGAGTGGTCCTTTTATGAGTCTGAGTTGGATCTTAAATGAAGCCTTTTCAATGAGGTATCATTTTGTCTTTTCTCTTTTTTTAATTATTTTTCATTATTTGGGTTATAAGTTAGCTAGCTATTTTTTGGGACCACCCAATCTGTCCCTAGTAGATGCAGCCACTTATTACAAAAATGTTAAGCAGGAGACGCTTCAAAAAAATTTGAACAGTGCAACGGGGCGAGTAAACATCTCTCGTGTGCCCAATGATAGCGTGGCGCCAAGTGAAGTCGAGGACACATACCTGGGACGCTTCTTTCAGAGGTGCTTCCTGTGGTGCGGGGTCCCTACCTCAGGGAAGAAAACGGCCTAAGACGGGTTCTGCTTCTACGTCAACGTGTACAAAAATGGGACCCTACCTCGCCGTCCCGTGACATGGAAAAGAGGAACGTTAACGGGGAAATCATAGCTCCACCGCGAAGACTAATAAGACACTTACACAGTTGCTTAATGCCGTACCTGAGGTGGACCGCACCGAATGCACATGCCGCTGTGGGTCCTCACACAGGTCCCCCCTCAGGCACTCATAAAACTTTTTTTTAAAAAATGACCTCCATTGAATACGCATTTGAAAGGAGCCTCTATTATGTCTTATCATAACCGTATCCATTGGTGGTATTTTTTTTTTTTTTTTTTTTTTTTTTTTTTTTTTTTTTTTTAATCCCTCGACGACCGTCCCCATGACTAAGAAGTGAATACGTGTATGGGACACCCCTCCGCAGGTGATGGTAATTTCCCCCTGCAGATAGACTCTCTTTCTTCCAATTAAAAAAGTTATTTCTTTTTCATATATGAGATGGGGTCCTCCTCCTCTCCCCAATATTGTTCCACACACAACACACCGAACGATGCAAAATGAACAACCCCCCTTATGTTAAAATAAAATAACGTGACAAAACTTCTGTGTGGTCGACGCACAAGCGATTTACTACCCCACATTAACCACAGAGGTTGGGTAAACCTTTTACCCCTTTTCCGCTCTTGCGAATATATATAATCCCCCTTGAACATAATTATATTATACAAAAGGAAGTAGTAGCCCTGTGTGGGTGGGGGGGACCATGTGGTTTGTCCTCTTGTCGGGACATACAAAATTGAAGTGATATATATTTTTCTTCATTCACATGTATAAAACAATGAGTCAACCTTTTTCAGTTGCATTTATGAAGCGCTTTGGGGATGAGAAAGCTGGGCCAGGCCACAGGGGGGGGGGGGAGAGAGTGTGATAAAACCAGGGGAAGGAGAAAACGGGCACTTGCACGGGCGAAGGGAACAACAACAAAAAAAAAAAAAACTCACATTTTGTATAAAGAGGCAGCTATTTCTGTTGCATACATATATATACGTATATATATGTACCTGTATATATTTTTTTGAATTATGCGCTTGGCGCAAAATAGGGCAAGAACATGATTTGACCTTCTGTTCAATGTTTTCGCGCTGCCCTCCCCCGCGCTAACCTGCCGTCGCCCCACGCCCACGCATATATAATACGTTAAATTACCTTTGTACGAACGTGCGTTAAAGGCGTAGGCACCGCATATTCCCGCCCTACATAATTATATAATATGCACAGAGGTCATGTATATATATATTCACCCGCATATGCCCCGTATGCAATGATTACATTATTCGGGTTGTGCCCCTTTTTTTATTTATTATATTATTTTATATTTTTGTTTCCTGCGTTTCTACGGTCCCGTGGCACGACTTGTTTTTTTTTTTTTTTTTTTTTTTTTTTTTTTTTTTT